GTCGCGCATTCAAGTATGCCGAAGCGAAAAATTCACGAAGAGTTTACGATTACTTTCCGAAGCGAAGGTCGAAGACGCGCGCATGCCATCGTCAATCACATCAACATATTCCTTAATTTAAAAAACTTTTCAATTTATTCATTCAAATGCGTCTAGAAAGGCGTTGCTTAGTCTAGACTATTAATACTAATTTACAGGCATTTTATTACAAGTGATGGACGATACTTAGAGAAATTCGGAGGAATATTCTCCCTCTATCTCAAAATAAAAAATTATTATTCCAGTTAAAATTAAAACACTGGCCAAAAGCTCTACACTGGAGTCTTTTGTCTGCCGAGTTTAAAGTGACGCTCATCGATCTCATTTACATACACACGTTGAAAGGACTTTTTGGACGATGAGCTTGCGAATACTCCATATTAGTTTGTTATTTTATCAACTTATCTTAATTTCTATTTTCTCAACGAAAAGAGATGTAGAGGGCTTTTCCTTCTTGTGCTGAACTCGGACTGGAAAACCTCCAAGGTCTACTGCGGTCTGTGACGTCATATATTTACATTTCATCGGCTTTCTGTATCACGTCATACGGTGATGTCATACGTTGCCTTGGTAACACGTTATTCCCCATACATTATTACTGGGGTCAGTGACTTCAACACGTTGACATTGGCTTTCTGTACCACGTCATACGTTGCCTTGGTAACAAGTTATCACCATGGAAACACTAGTTACCCTTGGTTACTGAACTTCTTGACCCTCGGGGTCTTCTCCAAAGAAATATTCACACTTTTCGATGCAAGTCTGAATGAACAGACCAAAGTTCATCTGCCGGGCCATCGTTTTAAATGATTCAAACTCGATTCGCAGAAGCGTAGGGAAGATGACCGTTGATAAGTTCCGGGATTCCATGAGGTTTACGTGCGAATATTCGGTTACCCTAATGAAATCATACGGTGGTATTCAATATACAATGTGACTGAAATATAACTATTGCTATCTATAAATATTTCTGGTAGCCCTGCCACTTGGATGTTTTATTCCATACTATTGGAAAGACCTAGACAGCAATGGCTGATGGGAAGAAGCGAGTATACAACAGCTTTTCTGTATTTTGATTGGGTGTATTTTCAATGGTGTGGGATATTAAGTTGTAGTTTTAATACCTGTTGAGATGGAAGGTGAACTGTTTCAAGAGAGCGAGGTTTAGGGGCGGCATCTCGTTGATCAGATCCTTCAGCACAGCAAGGCGTTCATTAGCGTCCATGATTACTGAAAACAGGCAGACAGACAACATTATCTATGGCAAATCTATGGCAAGAGATAACTAGCTAAAAACTAGTGTGAGCTGCGTCGGTGTTTCTAATGAAACAGTAATGAT